GTCATCCCATATAGCCTAGTATATAGTAGGATATACCATCTAGGCTTGTTAAGTACACTCTATGATGTTTACACAACTATGGAATCACCTAAAGATACATTTTGCAGAACGTGTCCCCATGGTTAAATGGTATATAGGTGCATTTAATTAAGTCTTTCACCTATGGCTTTATTTGAGGGGTAAGTTAAGTCTCATAAAAAGCTCCCAGAAATCTCATCTGTGCTATTCCTTCTACATAGACATTTATTGAGAATTTTCTTAAAGCCCCAGAAACTATCTTCATAAAAACAAAATATGGTAGATAATACATTGGGATCATAAAAATCCTACTGAAAAATTAAACAGCAACTATCTGCTTATGTGATCTGACATGTAGAATTTTGAATTTTCTAGACTGGAAGCAAATATCATCAGTAAAGGGCCATAGTACATACAATATTCATAATATAAATAATACATCTATAATATATAAAGAACTTAATGGGAGTCTAGTCATCTATACTCAGACAAATATAATTTTGCTTCCTTGTTCCTATTATACCTTATCCCAGGAAGGACTTAAAGGATTGTAAGGTATTTTTGATTGTCATTTTCCAGATGAGTGCGCTGAGATGCAGAGAGGCAGAGTGATCACACCAAGTCAGTATCTCAGTGCACAGTGGGTGGAAGGACAACCCAGGTTCCAACTTCCTGGCACTATATCCACTCCAATACTTGTTCATTTCAAATGCAAGGCCCAAATAACTAATCAAATAACTAATTAAGTGTGCCATATTATCTAAGGGTAATACTTAATGTTCTATTTGAAAATAACTTCAAAATTATAGAATAGTTCAAGGAACAACCCATACATCCTTCAGGAAGGTTCCATTTTGCTCCATTTGCTTTGTAATTTGCTATCCATCCATCCATCCAACCACCCAAATAACACTTATTTTCTGAACCACTGTGAACATACTGCATATATTAATGGCCCTTTACCCCTAGATACTTCAGTTTGTATTTCCTGAGAGTACAAATATTTCCTTATATAATATAGCACAGTTATAAAAAATTTAACAATGATATAACACTTTTCACCATTCATATTCTAATTTTGTAAACTGACCTAACAATGTATTTTTCCCTCCTGTATAGGATCCAGGCAAGGGTCACTATTGTATTTAGTTGTACACTCTAGTATTGTTTAATCTGGAACATTTCTTCAGCCTTTATCTTTTATGATATTGACATTTTTAAAAAATCTTCACCTGAGGATATGTTTATTGATTTGAGAGAGAGAGAAACATCGGTGAGAGAGAGAAACATTGATTGGTTGCCTTTGGTATGTGCCCAAACCAGGGATCAAACCCACAATATAGGTATGTGGCCTAACCGGGAATTGATCCTGCAACCTTTTGATGTATGGGACGATGCCCCAACCAACTGAGCCAGCTGGCCAGAGTATGACACTGACATTTTTTAAGAAAACAGTTGACCCTTGGATGACGAGGGTTAAGGGCACTGACCTTCCATGTAGTCAAAAATCTGTCTATAACTTTGACTCTTCAAAAACTGAACTACTAATAGCCTAATGTTGACCTTACCGATGAAGCCTTACAGATAACATAGTCAAATAACTTATGTTTTGTATGTTATATGTTACATACTATATTCTTACAATAAGGTGAGCCAGAGAAAAGAAATGTTACTAAGAAAATCATAAGAGAAAATACATTTACTGTATTTATTGAAAAAAAAAATCCACATATAAGTGGACCACACAGTTCACACCCATATTGTTCAAGGTCAACTATATAGACTCTATTTTTTTTTCTTAACAGAATGTTTCTCATTTTAGATTTGTCTGATGTTTCCCTGTGATTAGATTCAGGTTATGAACTTCCAAATGGGTTACTACAAAAGTGATGTTTGTGTCTTCTCAGGTTATCACATCTAGTGTCACATGATGTCCATCTGCCCCATGATGATGACATTAATTTTGGTCACACAGTCAAGTTGTTGCCTGCTTTTTCTATTATTCTCCCCAGCAACTAATAAGAAATCTGTGGGGAGGTACTTTAAGACCACAAAATAGCTTGCTCCTCCCCAAGGATAAATTTTTATAATAGTATTTTCACTATTGCTATAAAAAGTGACCCCTATATAGTAAAAGAAACCTTCATTTCATTTATTATACTTGAATAAGTTCCATGCCAGTTTCAACATCTGTTTTTATTACAGTAGTCCATGCACACTGAGTGTTTATTAAAAATTGTTCATTAACTGCTATCTGGGTAGGATATGGGCATCTAATTTTTAAATCCAACTGTTATCAGTTCCCTAATTTTTGTTTAATGAAAAGAAATCTCTTTAATTTAGGCTATAGAAATTAGATGATGTAATTGAAAGAACATTCCATTAAAAAAAACAAACAGAAACTTGTAAAAGAACCTACCTCTATTTATTCAAATTATACATGAATCCTGGTTACAATGATATTGATTATTATCTAGCCTTTTAAAGCAGTGTAATTTTGAGGTGAGCCTTAATTCAAGGCCTTAACTTAGATTAAACATAGTTAGCTTATATAAAATGTTTAAATGGTCTGGTGTCTTTAGTTTGAGTTTGGCAACAAGCACAAAAAAAGGTAATTTTTAGAAAGCAGGGAAAAATGGAAAAGAAAAACTGTTTAGAAATAGTTTTGAAATTTTTTTGTTAAAGTTTTTAAAGATGCCTCCTTTCTTTATTTTACTACCGCGGTTCTCAACATTATGTAAAAGCATGTGTTACAAACCAGTCATTCTGATTACAGATATGCCACTAATTCAACAATTCTTCCATAGAATAGAAGTCAGGAAACTGGAGGGGGCAGGGCCAGACCAAAAGAATATGAACTTTGTTAGAGCCCCCTTTCTCTTTTGAGCCCAGCTTCTCATCTATAACTTTGTCTTACTTGCAATACAATAAAATTCCAGCCTGTATGAAAAAAGAGATATTTTTTTGATCAATAGAATTCAGCAGCCAAAGCATTAGTGTTTTCATTTTTTTTTTTTTAAAGCATTTGTAGCCACAGGCTCAAAGGAGGAAGAAAGGGAGAGGGATTAACTTTCTGCAAAGGTCAAAAACATAATTTACAAGTGAGGCAAGAAGAGCAGCTGTATCTGTTGGCCTAATCAAGACTACCAGCTGGAGAATTTACCAGCAATATGAAAACCATGTCCACCAGATGTCAAGCAATGCAACTGGAGGCCAAATATCTCTGGCTCAATGCAGTATTCTCCCCTCTCCCTACCACCCATATTTCATGTTAAATAGTAAGGTATCCTCCATAGGCCACCAGGAGGGATAACAAGAACATTTCCACACAAGGGACTCAATAACATGATCATATGCCATCAGACTGGTTTCAGTACTGAAGCCCACCTCACACAATGTTCTTTTGTTAAAAAGCAATATCAACTTGTAAGAGGCGAGAAAAACATAAATGTCTGTATGTCATTCATGTGTAAGGATTCTTCTGGCTAATCGGACATTTTATATTTTGGAACCATTTTGTTATTGGGAAGAAAAGAGTGTTCTGAAAATACTTGCTTGAATAACCATTTCCACTCATTCTTACACCTGTGCTATTTAATACAGACACACATGGTTATTTAAACTTAAGCTAAATTGAATTTAAAATTCTTTTCCTCGGGCATACTAGCCACATTTCAAGTGCTTAATAGCCATGTGTGGCTAGTGGCTATCTTATTGGACAGCACAATATAAATATAAAACATTTCCATCATCACAGAAAATTCTATTAGATATTGTTGCTCTAAACCTATAAATCACCTTTAAAATGGGCAGTTATCCCTTCTCTAAATACTATGAAAGAAAGCAATCTTTATGCATTCTCTTATGAAATAAGCTTATTAATACAAACAAATCTTGAACTATGTGAAGGTGATACAGAAGAGGGGAGCTCAGTAAGTTTCACGAATGTGAACCAATGCTTGTCTGATGAGATGCTTTTGTACTCACAGATGCCCTGTGACAAGACCTGTTTGCTGGATAACGTATAGAGGCCAGTCTGAATAGCTGTTATATGACAAATACGCAATGAACTATTCTTTATTACATGCACCCTTAATTTATTAATGATGCCACCTCTATCAGACAATTTATACCAGAAGTTTCCTTACTTATGTTTCCAAATGTGTAAAATAAACCATGCCCTTTAAAAAAAAGACACTGCCCAACTTCACAGCTTTGCAAATGAGTAACTTTAATGCCATGTAAAGATCATATGTCACAGCTGTTTCTAAAAGTTTTATGAAAAAGAAGAACATGAGGCCAATATAATAATATCCACAAATTATGTTTCTTACTCCCAACCTCAGCCATTCTGAGTTCAGGAATGTCAAGCAACTCAGGAGGTGATGTGTGGATGTCTATGTGATCATTGTGGTTCACTGAAGGAAGTGTGCCATGGACACATGACACACAGAGACAAACCTCTGCCTCTGTCCATGAGGACACTATGCCAGGGCATGCCAGAACACACCAGAGAACAAGTCAGGTGGTACTCATAAGCACATCAGCCACCTCTGCCCGCACATGTGCAGGACACAGTCCAGGCACTTGGCTTTTGTTTATCTTGGTTTCCTTTATCTATTCCAACACTCCTTGCAAAATCACCCAGACCTGAGAGCCCATTAGCTTCACTCCCATTTTCTTTTTGCTATCCCAGTTTCCTCTTTTCCTTGTTTACAACAGACAAAAACTATGGAAAAAAAAGTTTTTCTTACTTTTCCCTGCTCCACCATCAAAAGCATAAAAGACATGCTTCCTTTTATTTTTTTTATTTTTATTTTTTGGTGGGAAGATCATCAACTCTTCTTAATCAGACTCTCGTGAAGATCATAGAGCTACTTCCCAGGCGAGGCTGAGAAAATTCATTCCTATCAATTTAGCCTGTTAGAGATTTGTGCAATGGCTGCAAGGTTTTCAGGTTATGCCCCAGTTTTCCAGCTTACCTTGGCTTTCCCATCTTGGGCTGACATATATCCAACACACATGCTCTCTGTTGTGTGGCTCCACAGAAATTCCACTGCCATGGAAGAGAACACAAATAGGCACATTCAGATCACAGATGGAAAATAAATCTTTGCTTTTTAATAGAACAGTTAAAGATAGCTTTATACTTAACACACTCAGTTCCCGACTTTCCATTTGCTCCTTCATAAATGTCAAGATGATTTAGTACTCAAAACTGTGTAATGCCATTTACTGTGAAATGAAAAATGTATTTCTTTCTTGTCAAAACTTATGATTATTACATGTAAAAATAAATGCTCTTCTGTTTTAAACTTGTAACATTAAAGACACACACGTGCACATACACACTCAGGTATACAGTATACAATGATTTAGTAAATGTAATATTCCATAACGTAGTTTCCTTTAACACACACACACACACACACACACACACACACACACCCTTAATTTCTAACTACCATTCTGCAAGAAAAGGAACCAGGATTCCTTGGAGAAATGTCAATTCCAGGGCTGGGACAGAGAAAATATAAAATGAATCTGGAACATCTTTTTGTGCCAGAAAGTAAGAAGGTGCTCAAAAAATGATGAGGAATTATCAAAACGACCAGGTGTCAGTTCAAAGGGGCTCCTGCTGGCCAAATCTGTGTCAATCTAAGTATCACCATAAACAATAATAGTAATGAATTATCACCATTGAACATGGTAAGAACCAGCAAGCCCATAGTAATGTAAACAAATAAATGAATAACTAAATGGGGGAGAAGAGAAAGCTCTTCCTTGCAGTAGAATACTACGTAACAAATACAGACAAAGTAAGAGCTAGCAAACCATCATGGTTGCTAAAACTAGTTGGTGAAAATTTGAAAACAGGCTATTTCCATAGTCTCAAGATAATCTCTTCACAAAATTCTTATTAAATATAAAGAGGGAATATTTAATGGAAGTTTACTGCATAGAAAACTGATGGACTCCACTTTAACCAAATGATCCAAGCCAACATCACCAATTAAGGGACACATCAACCCAATATGCCTCCTGATAAGACACCCCAAGACTCACCACGACTTCTATGGTACGCTGGCCACAAATGCAGAACCAGAATTGCATGAGGAAGCACCACACAAATCTGATATAGGAATACTAAATAACTGGTTTGAACTCTTCAAAAAGGTCAAAGTCAAAAAATACTTTAAAAGTTGACAAACTATTTCCATATAAAGGAGACATAACAACTAAATGCAATGTGTCATCCTACACTGGATCCTGGACTAGGGCCTGTGGGTGTTCTAAGGGACATTATAGAAACAATTGATGGAGTTTAAAAAGGGACTATGGATTTGATAATAATGTTGTATCAACGTTAAATTCATGATTTTGATAGCTGTATGTAATTATTTAGAAGAACGGCCTTATTCTTAAGAATACACACTGAAGTATTAGGAGTAAAGACCCCTGAAATCTCCATCTTGGTCTCAAATAGTTTAGAAAAAAATGTACATGATTAATTATGTGAGTGTGTGTGTATCTATGTGTGTGTCTGCATGCCTAAAGGGAAGATGAAGGGAAAGGGGAAGTGAGGACGGAAAAACAAATAGGGGGAAATAAAAACAGTGGATGATTTGGGTGAAGAGATGATAGGTGTCCCTTGTACTATTCTCATAACTTTTCTGTAAGTTTGAAATTATATCTAAATTAAGTTACAGAAAGAAAAATTCACAAATATGCAGACATATGCATAAAATTTTGTCACCTTCAAGTACATACTTCCAAAATTCTGAGTTTTTTAAAAGACATTTTTTGAAGTTTTGAGGCATTTCTCCAACAAAAATTCCAAAAGTCCCTGATAATAAAACTGCATTGCTCAACACTAAACCCTCTGGGTCCCAGGCCATCCATCTGTTTATATCTCTGAGCTAATTAAGCCTGAAGACAAGTGTTTGAGTTGAGACACAACTGTGGGATCAGTGATCCTAGACTCTGAAGGCTTTGCCAGACATGTGGGGAAGAAAGAAGCAGTAAGGGACAAAATTGAGTTCCTCAGATACGTGGCTCATTCCCTCATCATTAATTAATTATCAAACCTGCCAACCTGCTAAACAGACGCTCTGCTAAAGAGTGCAGGGAAACAGTGTCATGCAATGAAGCAAATTCTCTTCACCAGATGTTTTTTCTTCCTCACACATAGCCTTTGAACTTCAAAAATCTTAAAGTCCAGAGCAAGATCTGGGATATTCTAAATTGCCTAACAGAGCAAAGGCACTCAAGTCTTACTGAATTTCCCTAGATTAAGGACAATGCAATTATATTTATAAATACAAAGTTAAGGCATTTCTAAAACTGTGACTTCTTATGCCCCTAATGTTAAGGTAGTAACTGCTCATGAATTAGTAAAGAAAAGTACATAGACATGTAGTCAATCTAGTGCAAGTGAAGGATAAAAACATTGTACTTTGTTTCTTTTTAAAGATACAATTTTGATTATTTTAAACTGCACTGTTCTCTCTAAAAATGTAACCTGCTTTGAGAAATGTGATACATAAAACATTTAGACTTACAAAACAGAATAAATTGAGTATACTGATTGACCACATTAAATATTTTTATATTGAATGCTTTTCAATAAAGTTTCTAGATATAGAGTTTAGGAGTCCTTAAAGAAAGTAACTTAATGTCTAGATATTCAGTCTTCACTCTTTTCACAACAAAACAAACAAAATAAAAAGAAGTACATTGTACTAATACCAACAATTCAAATCAGTACATAGTCATCAGTTCAGCGTATAACAACTTCAAGCCAGGTTGAGAAACTCAGCAGGAGCTGTCTACAATTGAAATTATAGAATGCTTTTGAAAAGAAACCCTATTTTATTTATTTTAGTGCATGCCTTAAATTAATATAACAAATTATTTCCTGGTGGAGGACTTCAAAAAGCAGAAGAGGGAGGAAGTAACATTCAGAATCTAGCAAGTGCTAGGCACTCTCTTTAGAACTCAGCATGGCCTGGATGGGGGCACCTGGCACTCACAGGAAGTACGTAACATGGCTTATGTCATTTTAGTACATGAACAAACGAATTCAAACTGGACCTTTGGATTCCAAAACCTATGATTGCCCATTGTTTTATTACTTTGAAATTTACTCATCTTGAAAAAGATTTATAATTAGTGTGACATATTAAGAGGACTAAATTCCATACAAATATCTCTAAAGAAAAGTTTTTAAAACAATAACAAAATCCAGATGTCATAAAAGACAAGATCAATAAATGTGACCACATTAAAAAATGTTTACAGTATTTTCTTTACCATATATGGAAAAAAGTCAACACATGATTGACAAACTAAGGAAATATCTGCAATTCATGGCATAGAAAAAGGACATTTTCTTAATATATAAAGATCTGCTACAAATAAATGAGACAAATATCCAAAGACAAAGCAAAAAAACAAAAAAGAATCTAAATGGCTCTAAAACACAAAAACATGTTCTACATTTCTCCTACTAAAAGAGCTGCAAATTAAAACCACAAGATACCATTATTTAACTCTCAGGTTATCAGATATCAAAAGGTTTGAAACAACTGTTTTTTTGGTCGACGGGGGTGAAGAAATGAGCTCTCATATAATGATGGGAGGAGTATGGGCACTTGGAAATACATTCTTGTAATTTGTGGTAGTTATGTCCCATAAGGTAACCATAAACAATTAATTAGAAAATATGGAGCTATTGCTCCTAGGAGAAATACAGCATTAGGTACCTGAGAGTAACCTTATTTTATGTGGGATTCTGTTTAGAGATATCATATTTAATATATATTTATTTTAAGTAACTTACTATATGTAGTATTCTTTTATACTAAAACACTAGCCAAGAAGAGTTTAACATTTTCTTGACCTTGGATAACCTGCCCATCAGTGTCTTTGGCTTTCAGCCTCATGACAATGCTGTCCCCTATGTTCTTTTTAATGGCCATCATCTCATGAATCCACAAATTGAACTACATTTCCAGTTTTTCCATGGCTTCATGAGGCACCATAGATGTTACTTCAGCAATTTCTAAAACAGCAAACAGATCAGTGAATTTCTTCTTCCTTTTTTGGAAATACAGTATTGTTGGTTCATTAACTTTGAACTCATGGCCAACAGTATTGTAACTTTGAACTCATGGCCAACAGTATTGCAACTTTATCCAACATGCATATTTTCTACACAAGACACCACAATCTCCTTGCACAGAGGAACACTAGACAGCAATTCAGGACTATGCTTGGGGGACATTTTTAAAGCAAAATCACCAACAAAAAGCACAAAACTATGAAAAATGTGGCACAAATAGACCACAAGAATGACACTTGTTTACTGTATGGGAGCTGAAACAAAAAAAGCCTTGTTCACCTCAGCTGGAAATGTGCATGTCAGGTGACTCAAACTTTTCACCACTCTGTGCCTATCCACAAATGACTGTGAAGGTGCAAAGAGTACTAAATTTAAGATTACAAATAAATTTCAGCAAGTAAGATTTATACAAACTCTACAAATAATGAGCATTGACTGTAGTTACCAAAGTGGCATATGCTTTCATGCATTCTAAAAATATGCATTTATATTTATGAAATAAATTTTTACAAAGATATTCATTGAAGTAGTTTTAATTAGGAAGAAACTGGAAATAGCTTAATTGCCTACTGGTGGGAGCATTAATGCATAATTATGGTACTCTAGCCAATAAAATACTATGCAACAGTTAAAAACAAAAGAGGTAGCTCTGTAAAGGTGATATGAAATCATCTACATTGTTTTTCAAACTTTTTGACCATGAACCAAAATAAAGCAAAAACCCCATATACTGTTACTTCACACACATTTCTTTATAACTGAAATTTCATAAAAGAATACAATTTTACTCACAATGCATTGGTTTACTCTATTGGGTTCTTTATATTCTACCTGTTGCATTACAAAGATTATGCTTGTGACTCATTAAATTGACTTTACCTCATTAATACAAGTTATTTCAGTTTTGAAAAAAAAAAACACTAATCTGCAAG